AGATGAATAGATGGGTGAATAGATGGTTGGATGGATGAACAGATGGATAGATGGGTGAATAGGTGAATAGGTGAATAGATGAATGTATAAACAGATGGATAGAGGGGTGATTAGATGAATAGATGGGTGAATAGATTGTTGGATGGATGAATGGATGGTTGGGTGGATGGATAAACAGATGGATAGATAGGTGAATAGATGAATGTATTAACAGATGGATAGAGGGGTGAAGAGATGAATAGATGAATGGATGGGTGAATAGATGGTTGGATGAATGGATGAATGGATGGGTAGATGGAGGGGACAGCGGTGTGTTTGACTGACAGGGCGGAGCTCCAGTCACAGGGCAGTGGAGCGGACCCTCCCTCCCTCTCAGGCGGCGCTGCTGTGGAAGGAAGCGGAAATAAACGTCGCAGTCAGACCTTATGCTAACAGCTACATCCAGGCTCCTCGGACGGGGTGGAAGCGACACCAGACCGACGCCGTTTGCTGCCTCTCCAGGGGACACAGGGAGCGGATAGCCACGCCAGAGGGGGTTTTCCGGTCGTAACGGGGGCAGAAGACAAACGGAGCAACTCGAGTGGTGAGTTTCCTTCTCGCTTTTCTCGTCACGTAAAAGTTGTGCTGCTTCTGGAACATTAGCCGAAGCTAGCTGCGGCTAACTGCGCTAGCGGCGGCGGCAGCAGCAGCAGCTTGAGCTACGAAGAAAAAAAAAAAAAAAAGGTGTTTTCTTCCTTTTCGCATCCAGCGGCGTGAAGCCAGCTAGCAGGCCTCAGGCGTCCGTACGCATCCGGCGTCGACTTTAAAGTGTCCCCCGGCTGCCGGAGGTGGCACCTTGAACCCGACTGTCGGGATCTGCTCGGCGGGTTAAGTTTAATGGTCGCAGCCCCCATCGCAGTTATTGTTAGCCGTTAGCCGGTATGCTAGCCCCAGCGCTCCGGGGACGCTGGGCGCAGTCTGTCCGCCGGATCGATTCTCCTCGACTCCCGTGAAATCGGTGAAACAAACCGGGTCCGGGGCTGAAGACGGGGGGCTGGATGCCGGACGCTGGAGTGCAGCAGCATGTCGGGGGTCATGTGGTTGTTTTGAATTAAGTCTTATTATTTATTTATTTTTTCCATCTGAGCTTCCCCTTTTCTTGTTCGTTGCCTCCTGTCAGCCTCTGTTTACAGCAGCTCCTCGGTCGTGTTCGTGTCGCTGTCACATTTTAAAACCTCGTCCGATCACCAGAGACGACGTGGGTCGTCTGTTTGTGTTTTGCTGACAGGTTTAATGGCCTTATCGGCTGTATTAGTGAGAACCCATCAGAGCTGCACGGTGGCATATTAGCAAACAACTTAATGGGATAACGCAGCTTTATCCATTTATCTCAGCAACTGCAGGTTTAGCCAATGTGTCTCTGTCGGCTGCAGTGAAACAGGCTGCTGGTCGACCAGGTGGAGGGCTGTCCAGGACGCGTGCAGGAGTTGAGGCTGGTTGTTGTGAACTTGGTGTCATTGTTGACAACTTTTCCTTTAGTTCAGCCTTTAACACTTGCCTGCTACGTTTTGCAATAATAATCTTCTCATCTCATTATCTCAGACGTGCACTGGACTCCTGACATTCTCCTGAGGTCATCCAGAGGGGCTGCATTTGAGAAAGCAGTTGTCCAAGTCATTTGCTGCAGACGTTCTCCTGCCAGCCTCCTAGAATAGACTTTAAAGCACGAGTGAGCCCATTTGAGTGAGGAGAACGATGCAAAACTGACCGAACCAAAAACGAAGACAAATATCCCAGAATGAAAAAGATGTGGATGACACAGGGCTCGGCGAGAAGGGGGGGGGGGGGTACAAATCTTATCACAATATAAATCAAATAACTGTTTCTGTCATTTCTGCCGTAAATGGTCAGAAAGATTAGTGGTGCAATGTCTTTTTGGGAACATGCTTTCGACACAATCTGCAGTGCACGCTACTCCGCTTCTTGTTCTTCTTCGGTAACGCAGTCACCCACGTTTTCGTTAATGATTTCTGTTGTCATTTTCTCTGCAGTAGCCCAAACATCAGCACGTGGGCCGCTGCTGCTCCTGCACTCTGTGCTTCATGTGTCACCCTAACTTGAGGGGCTGTAACTCTATTCCAGCCCCATCGCTGTTCTCATTATCATTGGCTGTTCGTGCTGTCTGTCAAAACATGGACGGAATGAGTTCCAACGACCACGTCTTATATTTCTATCGAACAAAAGTTGGATCCTCACCAAATTTTGCTTGTTCATAGTTCGACACTCTACACATGCCAGATATTTTTTTCGCAAAGATTTCTGCGTTGTTTTTTTGAGAGATTTGCAAAACTTTCTCAAAAAACAATGTGAATTTGTGTCTGATCCAGATCTGCACCACCCGTCCACCAAGTTTGGTAAAAATCCGTCCTGTGGTTTTTGCATAATCCTGCTTACAAACACACGCATACAAAGCATCAAACAGACAGGGGTAAAAAAACACATCCTCCATGGTGGAAATAACTAAACTCTTTTAGCAATTCTGATTGAATTACACATTGTCTCTTGTTTGCAGGTGCCATACTGTGACCTTTATGTGAGGTCTAAGCCCTAAAGGAACGGGTCATAGACGGGAGGAGAGACTCGGAGAGAAGCATCTGGCCACAGAAGCCTGGATACGTGTTTTTATTTTTTACTTGGTTCCTTAAACCTGCAGCTATAACCAGCAGTTTTGACAGCAAGCGACCATGGAGGCCATCGCCAAGTACGATTTCACTGCCACCGCCGATGACGAGCTTAGTTTCAAACGCGGAGAAGTTCTTAAAGTAAGTGACAACGTTTTGATAATTCAATGTTGGGGCTTGTCTGTATTACTCATAATGGTTCGAAAACTTTAACATATATTCGTTCTGTTTGAGTTTACTTCCTGTTTGATTTCTCACATCCGTCTTTTACTAAAAAAAAAAACGCCACCCCCCAGTTGCAGTTTAACCAGTTGTTGTGCTTTTATCCCAAAAATATCTGTACGATTAAAACCATCATCACGACAATAATGCAGCAGCGTTCAAGTCTATATATTATAATGAGAGGTATTTAGATCATCATACATTTAACATTTGAAAAAGAAAAACACCAGCCAGCTCAGATTGGGTTAAAAATTCAGAACACTCTGCTGCATAATGTGACGGTGCACATGTTAATTAACAGTAGCATCAGAACAACATAATCTGGGGCCTGGGCTCTGAGGTCCATTCCAATATAGCAAAGTATTCTCCGATGCTGAGGCACAGTGATTTTAAGAGTCAAAAAACACAAAAAGGGTTGTTTTTTTTGTAAGGATGAACTATTTAAAGTGCTCTCTGTAAAAACCCTGGGCTTGTCTATATCCTGGGGCATGAGAAGCTTATTCAAAGCCTTACTTTCCTGTTGCACGAAAAGCGTTTATGTCATTCTCTGACCCAGAAGAGGAAGCTAAGAAGTTAGAAAGTACATACAGCAATTTTCAGTTCGCAATGATTCTCTTTGGATTTAAGTGCAGTCGTCATAATCCCTCTGTTTCAAGTCATAGTCATGAAGGGCTGGATGTAAAGTCAGGAGCGTATTAAAAGACATAGATTTAAAACGTCTGTATTTTTTTTTTGAAGAAAATTTATCCAACTAAAAAAAACCTTTGATAAAGCACAACTATAATAAACACATGTATTTACTACTGTTAAATAATTAATCTTAAACACAGTCAATTGTGTGTGTGAGACTTCTTATCTCACCGAGAGGGAGAGAGAAAGTGGGCTCAGGAAACACTGAGCTAAATATCAGTTCTTGTTAAATTTGCATATGAAGAAGTAAGTCAAGTTCTCTTGATGGAAAGATCTCTAGCTTTTTACCAGATGGCAGAGTTCCAGTCTCGATGTTAATGGGAAATACCACAACCCCCCCACCCCCACCCCTGATTGATATCATTAGAGATGAGCCGTGCCTTTTGGTGCCTGTGTAATTTGGATTTAACTGAACATTATTTTGTGAAATGTTCTGCATAGTCTAAATTATACTACCATATGCTACCAGATTTGTAGCATATTGCTGCTTTCAATTCTCAATCAGCCCTTTCATTATGCTTTTAGTTTTAAGCTACTGGCTGCATAGAAAACATGAGGAAGGTGTTACGTGAAACTTTATTCATTCCTCTTCACATTCAGTCGTAGGTGTGAAGATCTGCTTCTGCTACTCCATCATCTGCTTTCAATATAAACTACACTAATCAATGCAATGTCAATAATTTAACGTCCCTGCTCTTTATTCAAATAAACACGTACGTTATTTATGTTTGCATTGACCAAATGATGTTGTATTTAGCCAGTCAATCAATATTGTGGCAGTGGCCATAGATAATTCAACGTATGGGACCCAGTGAAGCAGGTCAGAGGACGTCAGAGGACGTCAGCCGTGTATGTGCCCCGGGACGCATTAACGCTCACGCTGTTAAGAGAACTTGGCCACATCACCACCTCAGAGCTGTCCACCTATGATTGCATCAATGATGGATGGTGCCCACCATTTCTACCCAAAGGGACTAATGTATATGTGCCCAACGTATGTGACTCAGCCAGTGGGCTGAATACTGTGAGTGAACAATCTTAAAAGCTCCAAAATGCTTTGCAGGTTATTTCTGCCCAGAGAATCTGAATTTGAAACGTGGAAGAAAAGCCTGCATCAGTGTTGCCTCGAGCACCGTCCACTCTTCATCTGAATCATTTGTTGGCTGCTTTGCCCATAGGAGCAGTTCACTATTTTAGACTGAAGTAGCATGTTGTTTGTCAGAGACCATCCCCCTCTCCATTTCTTTCATCCTCTTTATCCTGTTTTCCTCTTTTATTCCTCTTTGCTGTGCTCATACATTAGTCTCGACTCTGAATGTGTCCCCCTCAGGTAATTTCTGAGAAACAGGATGGAACAGGCTCATGTCATTTACTGAAACCTACTGCTGCACAGGTGGAACCGCATTAGATGTTGTTTTAAAATGGGACTACGAGGCTGCAGTTGAAAGTCTCTGGTTTGTTTGGCAGCAGTTATTTTCATGCAAAGTCTGGATGTCACCAGGAAAAAATGGAGAATTTGCAGCAACTTCAGAGCCACAATCTGATCAGCTTTGTGATAATTGTAATCGTGAAATTCCATCCTGGTTTCCAAAGAACTGAAAACCAGTTCATGCCAACTCAGTGCACCAATTACTAAACGTGTGAGTTGAACTTTTGGCATTGTTTAGATATTTCAAAAGAAACAAGTACTAAGACTACAAAATTACTCTCTGTCTCTCTTTGCATTCTGCTTTGTAGACCATAAACATCCTGTAACATAACCAAATGTTCGCTTATTTGGTTAATTACATGCTCCAAATATCTTTTGGCACAGTTTCAGTTTCCCTTGGACGTACATGTTTCTTTACCCTGCGCCTTACGACATGCTATACACAAGTATTTAGAGAAGTACATCTAAAGAAAAACCTTCCTGTGGTGGAGTGTGTTCCTTGTGGCTTCCTTTGCCTCCTGCACCAGTGCTATCTGTCTGCTGATACTAATACTAAACAGCTCTGCTCCCAGGACAAAGGCTCCCTCTCATGAGGGAGCCGGCCCGTGTTAAGGCTTTACTTGTATGTAGCATCCTTAACTTCTCACTAGTTCCAGTATCAGTAGGAGATGGCGGCTGTGCTGCTGTGGACATACAGGGTTGTCTGTTTTTCAGATTTTCACTTTGTTTTTATTCACAATATCGTCATCACACATGAATGTGAACTGCACGGGGATGATGATTCATTGGGTGAATACAGATGAAGAGAGAAGCCAGTGGGGTTCCAACCTTTTATTAGACTATGTAGGAAGTATGATTGGCGTTAGCAGTACATTTAGTTTAATGAATATAAGGCACCTCCAGCTCTGGCTTGTTGCCACATGGCTACTGCTCTCAGAATAAGGGCCTTTTTATTCAAGCATTTATCTGACAGTAAGGGAATGAAGTCCTGTCACACAGAACTATTTAATCATTATCTATGTATATATGCAATGTCACGACTGATCCATTTCAGAATTTAGTTTTCTAGTTGCGTTAGTGATTGTTTTACTTTAGCTGTGTTCCAACGAAGGGGCCACCTCCATCAGAGGATGTGGTCTACGTGGCCCATGAAGGAGGCAGCCATCATGAGAGATGTAGACTGGGAATCCCAAAACGAAGGGAGACTGTCTGCCGTGATTTGTGTCAACCAGCGTGTCCCACCCTTAACGCCGGCGCCAAGCAACAGAGCTGCAGTTGGAAGAGAAAGTATTAATGCCCCTATGATTTTTTAGCACGATACTCAAACAAACCTACATTTAAAAGTTTTCTCTTTGCTCGCTGTTGCCATTATCTCGTTGAAAAACAGCGATGAAGCAGTGAATCCTGGGACAGGCCAATCAAAGATTTGGTGAAAGGGCGCATTTGAAGGAGCCTTAGAAATGGGACAGCCTCGTCGTGGCACTATCGCTCTTCAGCCTCTGAAGGATGCGGCCACTAACAAGAGACGCAGCAGCACAATCTGCATCAGCTACGTGAAAGGAGCCCATATTGTCTAATGTCACTGAGACACACAGAATTCAGGTTCCACACCTGTAAGAGCACGCAGTGTGTCTCTGTGACTCACAGCTGGTTGACCAGACAAGGCTCCCCTCTAATTTGCGGCCTTGAGTCATGCACCGACATTTACTTCTCTCGTGTGCCAGCTCATGAGTAGGGCAGCACTTTTAACATTTTAACATCAAGTCTTCCTTCATATGACCGATGCTGAGCATGTCAAAACCATTCAAGTTTCAAGGGTTTCTGCCGTTAAAGTATTTTTCTTACCCATGTTGCTTTTGCTCCTTATCTGTTTGTTGCACAAAGAGCTGCCACCACCTTCCTGTTTTATCTTTACACCCAGTTCCAAGAAGTTCAACTTTTTCAACTTCTCTTGTGATCTGCAACCAAAGACCGATTTTCTGTTTGAAATTTAGATAAGAAATGAGAACCGTTGATGTTATTGAGTGGTAAGCTTATATGTAAAATAACTTCCGTTACAAATTTGTAGGCAGATGACTAATTGAGTTCAGTTTCATAATGGGATTCCCCATGATGCATTGACAGTAAAGGAAAATGTGCTAGTGATGGTAAGATGGCCCATCTTTGAATATAAATTGAATATAATATATATATATAAAAAGTTTTAGCTTTTTAACCACTCAAGTTACTTTGGTCATCAGAATCTGTGATTGCAGCATTGAACAGATGACAATGTAAAAATCAATAAGGGTTGAACCATCATCATCATTCCTCATATCCACAACTGTCTCTGGGCTCAAACACACAATGACCATGTCACAAGAGCTAGTGTAAGGATTTAGATTTGATCCAAATCAACCAGCTGTATCTAAATGGTCCCGTTACAGACCACATAGTTGTTCGACTAGTGTTATAATCAAATCAGCTGTTTTCAAAGCTATTGCTATATTTTCAGTTGGTTCACATGACTGCGATGACCAGCCCGCAGTGTGCCACAGTAGATTAGCACAGTCTTATTTTTTGCTCATTTTCTCTGTGTGAAAACAGATCTGGAGGTGGAGCAGCAGGCGTGTGGAGGCCACAGTCGAGGGTGGTCATTGTCCTGAGCACTGTGCACTTGTTCTCATTTCCTCCTTAAATAAATAAAGATTAACAGCCGGCAGAATTAGCTCCCATCAGCAGATCTTTGAACTCTGACCACGTAGCTTCGTGTAAGATCCGCCTCTCCACCGCGTCACTTCTGCAAACTGTTGTCTCTAGA